TTTCCCTGGGCTCAGCATCATCCAAATGACCCTTGATCTTCAACTACCAGTTGTGCCCAGAGTTCTGGAAAAGCCCTAACCTGATTCTTAATCACCATCCTTAGCGCTGCCCTACAGTCTTACCCCCTCCTGCCTTTCTCTGGCCAGGGAGCACTGACCCAGCTGATCCAGCTCTATCATCGTTTTCACCGGGTGTTGTCTCAGCCCCAGCTCCGCGCGCTCCCTGCCCGGGCTGAGCTCATCAACATTCACCACCTTATGGTAGAGCTCAAGAAGCACAAGCCCAACTTCTGATGTGCTGGGGTTGAGGGCTTCACCAGCCCTCTCCATGGACTCCTGCAGCCCACCCACGTCCTTCACCTGCGTGCCCCTCCCAGTTCTCCCTTTCCTCCTGGGTCTATGACATGCCTCACCCTGCCTTCGTCCCCAGGGCCCTGCCTCATCAGGGGACGCTGGACCTCCCAGTGTCTTCAGGTGTCCCAGGACCACCTTCCCCTGGGCCTCCAAAACGACCTGATCATTCTCCCAATTTTGTCACGATGCTCCGTCCCCCCAAAAACTAACAGAAAACAAGGCTCCTCTCTCTTCCTCTAGCAAAACCTTCACTTGCCTCAATCTCTGGTTCACTCAACTCTTGTCACCATGTCCTGAGCGTGAAGCCTCACCTCTTGGAATTGGTGGCAAGGGGAGACTGCCTTCAAGTCATTGATTTTTTTGGTGTTTTTTTTTACGCAAAGTGATTTCTGTAGCTTTTTGACCTAAGATTATGGCAACTTGAACACTAACTAGTCCCCCTCCTGGCTTGAGAGGTACTTCAAGGTCAGTCTACAGAGAACAATAAATATTTAATATNACACTAACTAGTCCCCCTCCTGGCTTGAGAGGTACTTCAAGGTCAGTCTATAGAGAACAATAAATATTTAATATAACGCCCTTCTTCCATTTCCTTTCTCCTTCCTCCTGGGGCGTTCAAGTAGCCCCATCTGTGCTCCAGGGTCACCTCCATCTCTGAATACGTCCTGGGCTTACATTCTGGTGGGTGTTGAAAAAGTAGGGACACAGTGACCTCTAACCATTAGCTGCTTTAGGCCAGAGTGGCTGCATTGGTTTTAGGGTGGGGAGTATCTGATGACTGACCTACCTGGTGGAGGAAGGTGACCCCGGTTAAGATGGCAGATGCAAGGGCTGGCTACCTGGCTGCGCGGCCTCGACCACTGCGGCTCTGCCCCTTGAGCGGACCTTGGGATTGCTGTTCCTTTGTCAGCTCACTCGCTGCTCTGGTTGTGGCTGTCGCGGCCCCTTGCGGGCTGCAGCACCCACACCGTCGGGGCGGGGGTGAGCCAGGTTTGCAGGGCCCGTCCCGTCCACTTCTGTGTGACTGGGAGTCTTCCTGCTGGCGCCGCCCGTGCACCGCCTCTGAACTCAGACTGGACTGGGGAGCCTCGGGCGCCTGTAAGTCCTGAGGAGGAAGGTGCGGGCAGCCCGAAGTCAGTACTCTGGCGATGTTTCCCTGATTCCTCTGCCCCTAAGGCCTGAGCATCCCGGCCACGCCCCAGCGATCGGAGCGAGGGCAGCGGTTTCTACCCTCTTAGCGCTCGGG